GGGAGGAAGCATTTGGGAACTAGAGGAAAGTTGTATGTTTCATCGTTGCTACACTGCACCCTGACTGGCTCATCTCCCTGTGACCCTTCTGTAAGGGGATGTACAGTTGCCTTCAGATGGACTTTGGGTCTCCACCCCAACCCCCCCATCATTCACAATGATATGATTTTTTGTTCTGATGGCCAGCATCATTTTCAAAACATTTTCTTTCTACTTGAGCCCTTGGTATCAGCTCCTCATTTTTTCCCTCTCCCTTCCCCCCTCACAAACCCTTGATACTTTATTATTTTTTCATGTCTTACATTGACCAATGTCTCCCTTCATTTAGGGGAATTGTTGATCAGCTCATGGTCAGGTTTATCCAAAGGGATGGTCAAGCCAACATCCAGCAATCCTTAAGGCACTTGTCATACTTTGAGAGCCACATCAACATTTTCCTTTGTAAGGAAGACACTAAGGGTGAGTTTGAGAATGAAAGATTAATATCCGTCCCTACCCTATTGCTAAAGAAAATCAGCATCCTCACAACTGGACCAAAAGGTTACATTATGACAAAAAAGGAAAAGATTGAAGTTGTCAAGGATTTCATCTTGCTTGGATCCACAATCAATGTTCATGGCAGCAGCAGTCAAGAAATCAAAGGACACATTGCATTGGGTAAATCTGCTGCACAAGACCTCTTTAAAGTGTTGAAAAGCAAAGATGTTACTTTGAGGACTCAGGTAGGCCTGCCCCAAGCCATGGTATTTTCAGTCCCCTCCCCTTTCATGTTTAAGTTGGACAAAGAATAAGGGCGACTAAAGAAGAATCAATGCACTTGAGCTATGGTGCTGGCAAAGAATACTGAATGTACCCTGGACTGCCAAAAGAACAAACAAGCCTGTTTTGAAAAAAGTTGTGTTAGATGGGGTTGACTAAAAAGACAAATTCACTGACATTTATTATATATGTGTAAAAGACAGCTTTATTTCATAAAGCAATTATGTTGAGAAAACATCCCAATGCTGAACAAGTCCATAAGTCTGAAATTAGTCCATATGCCCAATACTAGCCTATAAATTCCTCTTCAGACTCATGCAGCACATGCAATGATGCCAAATGCAGGAAGACCACAGGCCAATTGGGTGAAAAGTCTTGTGGATCCAATGCTAGTGGAAGCATCTCTGTGCATGCGCAGGCCTCCATGTGGCTCCTCAATAGGGAAGTGAAGCAGAGAGCGAAGAA